AACAGATGGATGAAGCACTTTATTTATTTTGCCCTTTTCATTTTGATGGTTGATATTGAGCGAAGTTTACATAGTAAGTTACTCACTAGGAACCAACTGTGATGTATTGGAGAATTGGCAGCTCAGAGTCCACTTGGGTGAATCACTGCTCTGTAACCTAGTGGTTCTCTAGTAGCCCGGGTGGATTAAGGCACCTTCCACTTATGGCTCCCAAAGAGTTATGTAGTAGATTATATTGGTTTGGTGGCATTTTCATAATTATACACCTAAAATTTGGGAATGGGAGAGATTTCCATATTGATTCAACGTGAGTCCCTCCCAACACATAGAAATCTTAAAATTAATTCAGCTTAAAGCCCTGTATTTTTTTTTACTATAAATTATTGTTATTAAACATTTCAAGGAACATTTTAAACTTGTAAAATTTACCTTTCTCTTATTTACGTTTACATTCACGTTAGTTCTTCATTGCCTAGAAATGTGGTAAATAATTTTATTTTGTATTATAGTCGCCAAGGAAAGAACTAGAATGAGAAAGCAGCAAATATTTAAGCTGCTATGACAGCTATCAGGTGAAGTGTTTTTATGTGTAAAGAAGTATCTGTAATATTATATTATGCTAGTATATATGAAGGTACTTCAAGAAGTTTGCGGAAAAATAGAATTAAAAGATAATACGAATCTTTCCATGAACTTTTTGAAGACCCTTCAAAATACATATTTTGACACAAATTCTCTTTCAACAAAATTTTTAAAGTAAGTCAATTAATTGGCTTATCAATTTAAAATAATAGAGAAAAAATTTTATATTCTTTGTTACCCGCCAAAATATCTCACATTGGGATTAGAAAATTGATACTGATATAGATAACAGGTAGACAATGAGACATTATGCAGTTTGAGCAATAAAATGCCACCTGATGGAATTTTCCACTAAAATTATATAAACAAAATAGGAAGAAAAACGTATGTTCCAAAAGCCCCTACCTATTCACTTCTTTGTTTCTCATTTTTTTGCCTTCTTTTTCTCTTTGTTTCTCCCATCTCTGTTTTTACTTCCATTCTCTACTGATGCTTTCCCATGATGCATGGAATTTTCCAGATTTTTATAGGCTTGTGTTTGGCTCAATGTATTTGCTTACTTATTCAGTCATTATTGAAGTGGATGAGGATATTTTATTCTGCTTTAGTAAAATTAGACTTATGAGATTTCTCATGCTTTGGCAGTGAAGTCTTCCATTGGAGGTAGAAGGAAATAATTTTACTCTTTTACAGGTTTAATTTCAGTGTGTAACTCACTGATGAGCAATTTGCTATTGTCTGTGTCATTTACTTCTTGTCCCATTGCCACTCCCATCTCTCCCTGACTGGTTTTGATAGCATTCGTAACTGATCACTTGGCACATGTCTGGAACCTTTTCACCATCCTGCCTTAGCATAGCTCTGCTTTTGCAATATCATCTGTATTTTTACAGAGAGATACATGTGTTTCCAGCTAGATCAAGCCTTTGGAAATAAGTGTAAGGATGAGCATTTGGACTGCTATGTAGACTCTCTTATTATCATTTCAGTTGATAAATGGGGGTGAAGATGTGCTGATATTTTACAACGATAGAGCATCATTTCCAATCCTTCTCCATATGATGTGTTCAGAGAGAGACCGAGGGGATGAGAGTGGCCCCTTAGCCTACCACATCACCCTTGTGGAGTTGCTGGCAGCGTGCACAGAGGGGAAAAATGTCTACACTGAAATCAAGTGTAATTCCCTTCTGCCCCTGGATGACATAGTGCGGGTGGTGACCCACGATGACTGCATCCCGGAGGTAAGCCTGGCAAAAGCTAATCAGCAGTAGAGTTGTCATTAATTTTTAAAGTTCGTATAAGTGCCAGAAGTCTCCCATATCAGTATTTATAATGAGATCATATATTTAGTCAAGGAATTGTATTTAGCTATATATAATTTGAACGACTGAAAACAGCTTTAAAAGGTTAACTTTTTAGTTCTACAGGAAGTTATGAAAGAGAATAAACCTATTTTAAAATATAGCCACTGTTAGTTTAGTGGACACTACTACATAGGTCTCTTAAATTCTAAACATGGCAGTGTGATCAAACCAAAAGATTTACTTTAACCTCTAGTATGTTCTTGAGCTTAAACCAGGTGCTTCACAAGTGATTCACAGTCATTGACTGGAGAGGCTAGGATAATGCTACAGGGCCACATATCAGACTCTGCCGGTCTGCCTTGTTTTATGGAATAGATGCATTCTTGAAAATACGCACATACATTTTGCTTTATTCACACATCATCTTTTATCCTTTGTCCTAGTTTGGCTCTGATGATAGAAAAAGATCTCAGTAGAAGCTGGTTGTCTGCCAACGGATTTTATTAATGAGGCTTCCAGGAATGTACAATGCAATAATTTCTTTCTTTTCTACTGTTGTGGTGTAATGTTGCAAAGTTGATAAATGTGTGATGCATTGAAAATGATATAAAACCAAATATTTTAGATCACAGTAACTTAAAAGGGTCAGGTGAGGTTAACTTCCCTACTTCCGAATAATTCAGTGTAGTAATTGACGTGAAAGTGTATTTTTATGAAATTTTGTGGAATTGTTGACACCTCAATCCACGGGCACTTCATGCCACAATTGGTTTGAAATATGATGGCAAAGAGAGGAGGTATGATGTAGTGATGAAGTCCATGAGTTCTGTCCTTCTATGAGTTCCCAGTCCTGGCTGGGCTTCTTCCCACATGCAGTTCCCTCTGACTACACCACTCGTACCTCTCGTGTTCACCTAAGTAACTCTTCTTTATCCTTCAGATCTTGACTTAAGCCTCACTTCTCCAGCGAAGGCTTCCTTGTGCTCCCTCAGTGCAATCTATAAGAGTCTATACTTTGAAATTTTACATTTCCGTTTTATTAGTTAAGAAATGTCTGTAGCCCTCACACTCGTTCCCAAGATTATAAACTCTATAAGAATAACAACTGGGTCTGTTCTATTCACCATCGTATTGTCTGAGCTAGAGCCTACACTCCGTAAATCTGAACGAATGAACAAATGAACTAAAGAATAAGTCAGAATCCTGGATCTGTTACTTCCTTGTGTGGCTGACTCCAACAGGTTACTTAACCTTTCTAATCTTCAATTTCTACACTTTTAAAGTGAGAGGATCAAATTAACTAAGATAATATGTACAAAATGCAGGGGGAGTTTTGCAAATACTAAACATTGACTGTATGTTAGCTGCTGTCAAGATGATTATGATAATGCCCTGGATGGCACAGATGTCCCCCTGCCCCCACCCCCATGACCATCCTGACGTAGGCACCCTGCCACAGAGGGTTTGTTTTGGACCTCAGTCAAGTAGAGAGAAGCACTAAAGGCATTGAAGCTGGTCCTCTATTCCGCATTCTTAACTTAGATTCCATGAACCCCCTACAAGTGTTTACATGATTTTTTATATATATGCATTTTTGGGGTGAATTTTATGGTATTCATCACATTTTTGTGAAAGAAACAAAAGAAAATGAAAAACAAAAACTACTGCCCTGTGTGTACTTTAGAAGTGGTATATATGTTGATGAGACTCATCTCAGTCCTTTATGAGGAATTTTGCTAATTCTGGAAAGAAGTTTTACTACATGTGCATCTTAATATAACACAATTCTTTGTAAACTATGAGCCTGTTTCTTCTCAGAAATAGTAATTTAAATATGTTCAAATAACATGAAGTATTATTTAGTCACCGTATTTCAATTGTATTAGAAATCTCTTGGTTACAAGTGCCAGAAACCTAACTTAAATTAATTTAAACAAAAAAAAAAAAGGGAATTTTATTGGGCTCTGTACTTTGGAATTTGAAAGATCATTGTTCCAATGGATCTAGAGGTTCAAGCAATGTCAGAATCCTTGCCATCTCTGGTCCATTTTTGATTTATGTTTTTGCCTCCTTAGCTTCTTCTGGGCAACATTATTGTCCACACTCCTGGAGAAGATGATTTCTTGAAATTCAGGTTTACCTTGTTCTGCTTTAGCAAAAAGAAAAAGAGAGAGAGAGAGAGAGAGAGAGAGATAGGAGAGAGAGGGAAGAGATATATATATATAGAGAGAGAGAGAATGGGGGAGAGGAAGAGGGGTGAGGGAGGGAGGAAGAAAGGGAGCGGGGATGGAGAGAGTGTCTCAGTAGGACAGGCTCAGCTGGGTGAAGTGATTGTCACAACAGTCGCTGGACCCGGGGGAATGGAGAACTAGGTTGTGTGTTCACTGTTGTGTCAGTAGAGTATCTTAGCAAAAGAAGGGAATGAGCATGCTTTCCAGGCAGACACAAAACATGCTATAATCTACTATAGGAACTAACACAGATTTTATTGAACTTTTCATAATTGGTATTTGAAAGTGAACAATAAAGAAAACTAACGTTCTTTTATATTTGAAACTTGCACAGGTTAAAATAGCTTATGTGAACTTTGTTAATCACTGTTACGTTGACACGGAAGTGGAGATGAAAGAAATCTACACAAGTAACCACATTTGGAAATTATTTGAGAACTTCTTGGTGGATATGGCAAGGGTGAGTTACACTTTGACCATTAAGTACTATTTCATGTTTAGCAAGGTCATCAGTATATATATATATATATATATATATTTTGTCTTTTTTCCGTGTCTGGCAACGGATTGCAACCCTCAGTGTTGCCCCCGTACCGGACCGGGGACCAGCAACGGGATTGCAACCCTCGGTGTTGCTCCCGCGCCTCGCTCAGCCAGTGAACCGGTCTGTATGTGGGATCCGAACCCCCGGGCAGGAGCGCCGCCGTGCTTCCCAAGCGGGCGCACTTATCCAGTGCGCCACCGGGCCGGCCCCCCATCAGTATATATTTTGATTTAATAATATTAACCCTCTGGATGAAAACTTGCAATTAAACCCACTACATTTTGATGGAATTCGTCATATTTGTAAAGTTGTGAATAAGCTTCACAAGATTGTGAGTGAAATTTAATGAGTTAATATAAACAAAATATCTTGTACAATGTATATAGCAATAGATAAAGTGTCCATTTTTACGCTTACAACTGACCGTATTTGTTTTTTATTAAATGGAATTTTAGTGGCCTTTTTATATTGGTTAGAGAAGACATTTGGCAGAGGTCTATTTGTTTTGAGCCTCTTGCCATGCTCTTGCCACAAATGCAATTACAAGCCATAGACAGAAGAGACCTCAGGAGGGCTTGACTACGGCTTCCAGGCAGATCAGTACTTGACCAGAACACTCAGGACTTAGCATTGTCCACTGTTGCCTATTTGAAGTCTTCCTTGTACACAAACTCCAGTAATTTAACCATCTGACGTTTTCACTCGTGTCAGCCAAATTATATTGTTTTTTACTTTGAGTCCATTTCCTCCTACTGAATTTTTGGGGGGTATCAGGGAGAATGTGTGGAGCTGGTTGGCATTTTCTATATGCTGCCTGGCATATGTTTTTGCTCTGTTGCTATTGAGTAAATGAATAAATGAAGAAAGGAAGGAAGGAACCTTCTTGATAGATAACATTTAATTATCTTTAGCACATCTTAGCCTTTTGTTTTGCATACTGAATTATCATAATGCCCAGGGTCTATTATTTTAGTTTTTAAATAAATATTCTCTTGTTTTTTTCTTTTAAGTTATGGGACTTGATATCCATTCAAATAAGGATTTCACTAATAGAAGAGAGTGTATAGATAACTCCTTCAACCTATTATAAATAAGGGTGGCTTGTCCAGTCCCATTGTTCTTTCTACATTCCTGAGTGCTGGTAGCTTTTTTTAGGCCTCATGTAAATGTATTTGAGAAGAGAGATTAGTGAAGTCCGCATTTCCTTGTTCTTACCAGGATGGATGCGAACTGCTCTTCACTAGCTCACTGCCTCCCTGCAGTCCTTTCTGGAAGGAGGGATGACAGTAGATATAATGAAACACTGACTGTAGACCCATCTGAGAGCACCCTTGGATAATACAGTGAATCGGGTATTATTCCAGACCAGGAACATTTTTTATTTAGCCAAGGTTTCCAGGTGAAATGTGCTTATTTTGCTTTTGGTGTGGTGCAGTGTGTGAGATCTCCACTGTGTTCTAGTATGTGTGAAGTAAGGCAGTCCCTGTTGTACTCCATTTCTGCACAACTAAAAGCCACTTACCACCTTTCTCAGTACATCTGCACCTGTAGAGAAATCATCCTGTTTTATGTAGCATTTAACATATCACTCACATTTATCCCCATTGACCCTGTGAAAACCTTTTATCTGACCAGCTGCAAGTATCTCCAGAAACCTTGAAGTAGAGGATGACTTATACGCCCATGACTGAGCTTTAAAATTGCACATGCAGGAAGATATTAAAGAGCTTATACACTGATTCGCAGAGTTGCGCCATGTTATGGACTAAAGATAAGCTTGAAAAAGACCAAGGTTAAATTCTAGGCAGCATGAGCTATAAAGCTAAAAAGGATTTTTATTTTTTTAAATCAAAGAAAGGAGATGATAATTGTCGTTGATTATGCCCCTACAGAAGCACTCTTTCCATTGCTGTATTCATAAGACAAAAGTGCATAGATTTATATTCTTTTTCAAAAAGTACACATGGAGGAAAGATTTTTATTTTAACTATTTTGATGAAGTCGATAATTAATGTTATTTATTATATAAAGGCTCTAGGGGAACTTCAAGATTTCTTGGCCTATTCACTCTTCATGTGTAACTACAACAGCTTAGCTATACTGCAGGAGTGTTTTTTCCTTTCTTGTTTCCCTTTTCTTTATATTTTAAAGTAGCTGCTCTCTAATTCCTTCACCAACGTTGGCAGGAAATTGCCCTTCCTATTTCAGGGAAGGAAACGGAAACCCAACTTTTCCATATCTGGGATTTCTCTTTCTCCCCCTAAAGAAAGATTAAGGAGCTACCATAGACTTTCAAATTCAAGTTACAAAAATAAGTATGGTTAAATGAATAAAATGTGGCCTCTAGGCAAATCTTTTTTTTTTTTTTTTTTTTTTTTTTCCTTTTTGAGACTGGCTGCACCGTGCTCAGCCAGTGAGCGCACTGGCCATCCCTATATGGGATCCGAACCCACGGCGGGAGCTGCGGCAAATCTTCAGTTCCGTAGAGTTTCTAGTATTTCTAGAAATACTAGAAATATGAAAAAAAAAAAGAAAGAAATAAAGAAAATGTGCCACCACCAAAGGAATACAGAGTACTTCTTAAATTTTAGTGAGCATTGGAACTATCTGGAAGCCTTGTTAAAACACAGACTGCTTGTCCTGTCCCCAGAGATTCTGATTCAGTACATGTGAAACTGCATTTTTAACAAGTTACTAGGGGATTCTGCAGCAGCTGGTCCACGGACCATGCTTTGAGAATCACTGTAGTAGAGCAGGTGGCCAAGAGTAAGGATTTCAAAGGATTTAGCCAGACCAGAGTTCAAGCCAGACTCTGCCTCTACTAGCTCAGTTATCTTGGACAAGGTACCTACCCCTCTAACCCTGAGTTTCCTTCTTTGTGAAATGAATACAATAACAACACATTCCTCATAGGGTTACTGGAAGGATTCAATGAGATAACGCATGTGAAATTCTTAGCACATATTGGCATCTAGTAAGAGAGTTGGTAACATCATTCAAATCATCATCACCAGTATTATCATAAGGCTAAATATAGCCTTTAGAGCAATTTCAAGAGGCTTTCCCAAGACCTATACCAAGTAACAATGTTAAGAATGTATGGGATGAACCAAATTCAGATGTTACAACAAAGTTATGAAACCCTAGAGTAATTGATTTGCATCACTGAGAACTGATGAAGGTAATCTGGAGGAAAAGTATTTGGTAAATTAGACCTAAAGAATCACAGCATCTTAGGAGTGGAAGAGATTAGAAGTATATATAGTTCAACTTTATATCTAATTCACAGTCTTCAGCACCTACTCAAATATTTCTATTAACAATGATGTTCCTATTTTTTGAGACAATTTGATCTCATTATGACACAACTTTAATTGTTAAAAAGCTCTTATATCGAGCCAAAGTTTTACTTATTTTAGTTTTTACCTAGTTCTTCCTTCTGCAACCACACAGAACAATTAGTTAAGCAAAGATTAGTTGTTTACTATAAGCAACATATTCTCCTCGCTAGTGATCTACTTTGAAGTGATAGAATTATGTAACTTACAGGAACTTAAGATCATGTAGGTTGACCTCACAATTTTGCCTAAGGGTTCCAGAGAGATAATTTGCTGCCTGACTCTCCTAGCTACAGAGTGGGAAGTCTGCTGCAGACTAATCCAGTACTTTTTCCTCAACAGCCTCTCAGGTACTTTATGGTAGCTCTCATGTCTCCCATTATTTTTATTTTTTATTATTTTTAAAGTTTGATACTCTGTTTATCAAAATAACAAGAACAAAATGAGCAATGACAAAATAGCAAAAGCTATTACAAAAAATAGTAAATTCCTATTTAAATTCCTGTGTTTACACAGATAAAAAGGTTCATTAATTAACTATATCACACAGGTTGTAGCATATTATAAGCTATAATACAGAAAGGTAACATGGGATATTTGAAATTTCAAGATGCACTTACCAGATAGTTTTAACCTGAGTCTTTTTGATGTCTTCAGAAATGCATTTGAAAATAACATATGCAAGTATAGTTATTTTTTAGTAGTATAACTCAAGATTGTTTTTCTTTGAATTGCTCTTAACTATTGCCTTTTCTTAAATAGTTTGTAAAATTTAAACATTTATTACATTTCTTGAGTTCTCTGAATACACAGGAGTGTATGAATTGAAAAGCTCTAACTTTTTTCCTTGTATACAAGCATATGAAAATGTCCCATTATTTTCTGCAAGACTGTCAGTGGCTCCTCTTCTGATATGGTTCTGGGATCCTTGTTTCAACATACTTTTGGTTTCTGTCTAGTTTGTCTGTGTTTCTGTTTAAAGGTGCGGCATTCAGGATGGAACCAAGTACTTCAGGCAGGGTCTGGCCAGCACAATTTTATTTTAGTAGAAATTTGTAGAACAATTTTGTTTAAAAGGCAAATGAAATATTAATATGTATTGGCACTCATACCACCTTCCACCTTTCTTCTCATGTTTTTCTGGAGTCAGCACTGCTGACTTTTTGTTTGCTCTTGAGTAAGGCTCTCTAAAGAGTCACCTTTATTAGTGTCTTTCACTTTCCTGTTTTTACCTCCTTGTCCTTTATCTTGTTAAAACCCATATAAGGAAATCTTTCCTGAAAGACTGTTTTTAGTGAACAGGTGCTAGATCATTTCACATACTTATTTGATTCTGATTTCTGGACAAAGACAGTATCCCTGTCCTGAAAATAGACCAGATTTAGGCAGACCCATGAAAAGTTGTTATACTATCTTTCAGAGCATTTATTAACAGCCCACTTTGATCTGTGTGCCAAATGTGGGTAAAATTGGTGTTTGTAGGGCAGAAATGCTTTTCTCTGGCTTTATAACTGATTGTTGTTGCCTGATTAGGGGATTTGAGTCATTATAAGAAAGTACATGGAGGGGTGGAGTGTG